TGAGACCATGAAGTGATGCAATGTACCATGAAGTGAGTCAAACCTAGAAGAAACTACTCGTCAACTCTTGTAAGAATACCTGCCAACACTTGTAGAGCAGTGAACAGGACAATGGAAAGCAGCGGGAGTGCAAAACCCCCCCCCCCCCCACCTCGCCAAACTGTGCCGTGCTTTTTTGCTCATCGCGGACTAATCTGTGCTTAACGTTATTCTTCAACCTAGGAATCCAATCAGATTTTGCAGACTTGACAACCTTCTTCGAGCAGGCGTTAGTAACGCGGAGCATGTCGTTGTTGTTAAGGAATTTGCTTCGTTGGCTGAAGAACATCTCGCTGATTGCAGTACCATCATCACTGTTCAGAAAATCCATAGGTAATCACTTCTTCTCCAGTAGTGTTTATTCTTCAGAAAAGCGCAGGTTTTGCAGACGGATTATCAGAAAAAGTTGCCGGAGCGAACAGGATGGTTCCCTTGAAGGCTCTCAATGTTGGAGCCAACGACTCCTCTCGTTGAAGTCTTTGTGATGCATACAGTCTTGTTCACTGCGGATCCTGGACCATCTCAGGGGATCTCTGCCAAACTGATGGGGAACGGGCCAACAAATCAGCTCCTAACCCTACTGAAACGCTCCAGTATCCACAAAGCGAGCAAAACGCACGAGGCCGTTCGCAACCAAATCATGCCATTGCGTTTGGGATTTTGAGCGTGTCAATATGCTTCTCCTCTCCCCATGAAGGAACCCCATTTCTAAGGAATCATGGCAATCACTAGACGGACATAAACTACTCGCAATCTTTCGGCCTTGAGTCTTTCAATAAACTCAATGCACTTCAAATGCAGTACAAGTACAATCTCTACGCAGTCTTTGTTCAAGCAAGCAAATTTATCCGTAGTGTTCGTAAAGGCCCGCAGTCTATTTACGGATACGAATATGATTAACTAGTTGATTATTCTGATACCAGTTTGGCAAGCGCGCGGTACTGCACGCACCACAAAGTAGTCCGACAAAGCTGCGTAGTGACAGATTATCTGCGTCAAGAACACCCCATTCTTTAGCGATGTTGGTACTAGTAGGCTGTTTGGTATCGGCTGACTCCTTCTTACGACCATCTCATCCAGCTTAAATGCTACCCCTTCCGTTGAAGAATCCCCAACGATGTCCCTGTTTGCAGCGCAGTATTCGCCGTACTCTCGCAACCTATTGTAAGGCTGGAGAACATTATCGGAGTATGTGCAGCTCTTACTTGTGACGTGGAAAATTCACGTCACAAGTAAGAGCTGCACATACTCCGATAATCATTACCAACCACCTCCTCTAGCCATTTACATCATACAACATTAGAGTGAATTCCCTTTTTTCACACAGCGATCCTTTTTATTCATTGCAGGATGTTCCCACAACTACGGATGATCACGGAACTCACCCATACGAGTAATATGCGATTTGTACAGTTTAGCGCAAACAACCCCTACTCGTTGGCTCAATCCAAATTTGAGAAGGTGAGCTCCTTTGCTTACAATACCAGTCAAGCGATAATTCCATAGGAGAGAACTGGTCGAATGAAAAGACGAAAAGTTACAAGATGAGAACTGACCAAAACCAGCTATACGAGCTCCTTCAAGATGTTGAAGCGCTGAGTAAAATGCTAGCGAAATAAAGGCATAAGGCCCAGTAAATTACTATGCCGCCTTGAATAGCTTAGCAAATGTGACGGCTCGCGACGAAGGGCTCTCTGCAGTGATCTCAACAAGACCCTACTCTCCAACAGGGCACAGCATTCGATGGGGATTTTGGCAAACCTGTTTATCCTTCAAGGGGCTCTTATAGCTGTTTTTTATCAATTTTCACTTAGACCTCTTCGTCGATCAGTTCTCCTCCATGGAATTATCAACTTAAATGGTATTGTAAATAAAGGAGCTCACCTTCTCAAATTTGGATTGAGCCAACGAGTAGGGGTTGTTTGCGCTAAACTGTACAAATCGCATATTACTCGCGTATGGGTGAGTTCTGTGATCATCCGTAGTTGTGGGA